GGCCACACACCCCCGCTTGGGCCAGATTTAGCCTGGCCTGAACAAAGCAGCAAGGAGCCGGCCCATTAAAGGGCCCACAACCTTCTGTGCCTGGGCCTTGGGGCCCACCCCAGGCGTAGGACACCTCCAGCCCTCGGAGCTCGCAGCCCGGCCCAGCCTGCCTGGGCACTCACAGCCCATGGCCCTGCAGGCCCCACCTCACCCCAGGCCTGCCCCCTGCTGACCCCTGTTCTCTCTCCAGCTCCTCGCTCCAGAACCCTTGGCCCTCGTGCTGGCCAAGTCCCCCTCCTGACCCCAGGAGGCCCCAACTTGCCCACAAGGAGAGGAATCCAGAGGAACACGGCTGCCATGGCTGCCCCAGCCTGGCCCAGGCCCTGTGAGTGACAGAGACAGAGGCAGGAGAAGAGGAGGGAGGAGGGACAAGCAGCTGTGGCCCAGCCTCAGCCAGTGGGACCTCCCCTCCCTGCCCATGCCTTTCGGGTTGCGCTGCGTCCTCACACACACAGCCGTCTCTCCCAGTGGGCCCAGTGTGCATCTACCCAGGTCCTCCCTTAAAACCTCAGTGGGGTGGGGGATGTGGGGGGTGGGGTGCACGCCTATAATCCCAGCATTTAGGAGGCTGAGGCAGGAGGATCACTGCAAGTCTGAGGCCAGCCTGGGTTACATAATGAGTTCAAGGCCAGCCTGGAATATATAGCAAGACTCTGTCTCAAAAAACAAAAACAAAAACCAATAAACAACAACAAAACAACCCCTAGTGGCTTTATTGTCCTTGAGTTCCCAGCTCATCCTTAATCGAGAGCTTTCAGGCCCTTCTTCCCCTGGGCCATCCCGTCTAGGAACTTCTCATAAGGCCTTCAATATTCACGTGCACACCCCACACACACCCCAGCCCTGTGGGTGGTACAGCTGACCAGGCTCCTTGGAGACCAGGAGCCCATTACCTTCCTATGCCTGGCCCAGGGCCCAGCAGCTCATAGATATAGGGGGCTGGGTGACAGCTGCCTTCTCAGCAAGTGGGGTATGCACTGTCCTGGCCTCAACCCGGCTGAGTACCCCCAGGGCCTAAATCTGGGGAGTGGAGCAGAGGCCCCTGCGGCCCAAGCATTGCCCCTACCGCTCCCTGACCAAGTGGCCTCTACCAGCCTTTGTTTCCACGGTGTCACGCTGCGTGAGTAGCTCCTCTCGGGGTCACTGTGTGGCATCACGGTGGTGGGGACCGCAGCTCCTGCGGGTGTCTGACACAAGGAGGTCGAGATGCCCACGCTCTCGGGTGAGGACAGGGGGCCGTCCACTCTGGTTCCTGGTCCACCCCTGTCCCACACCCCCAGCGGCTGCACGGGCAGGCTCCACTCCTGTCCCCACTGGGGCACCGGGGCATCGAGGCCCAGAAGTCGGGCTGCTGATGAGCTGAGTGCCTGCCTGTACGGCCCTCGCTCAGTGCCTGACCACCAGTGACAGCCACAGTGGGCAGCCGCATCGGCCTCAAGAAGACCCGGGTCTGAGTCTGAAGGGTTGGGCGTCCCTTACTCCCAGGCCTCCTCCTCGGGACTGGTAGAGGTGCCCTCCCCAGGTGCCACAGCTGCCATAATCCTTGGTGTGTCAAGATGCAGGTGCCGCCCCTTCACCCCTCAGCCTGGGAAACATCAGGGCAAGGACATCTGGGACCCTCCCAGTCAGGCTTGAGGATCCGAGGGTGTGGACCTGCAGCTGGGAAGTGGCTTTGTCCTCGTTCCTTCTTCTCTCCCCCTGACCACCCCACTGTCCCCGGAGGGCCACCAAATGCCACAGTCAGCATCTACTCTGGCTCCCAGGTAGGTGTTTGTCCCCAAATCACCTTGCGTCTCTCTGCCTTCTCGGGGATGGAGGGAGAGAGGAAGAACAAGTTGGCCAGAGTACAGGGATGGTGGCGCAGAGCCCACAGCTGCCCGGCCCCGTGCCGCACCCCCCGCGTGACTCTGTGCCACCCCCTGCCGCCTCCCTGCTATTTCTGGAACCACCTACTCATACCCTCAGCTGTCACAGGCAGCAGTGCCTGCGCCCCGAGTCACCGGGCCCACGGAGGCCAGCGATCCTTAGAAGAGCTGCAGTCACCTCTCTTCTGATCCTCCCCCGAAGGCCCAGGGACCGTCCCCAGGGCCAGCTGGAGCCCGAGCCCCAGGTGACCGACCACAGCTGACCAGAAGGGTCGCAACCTACTGCTGAACATGAACACACAACCTCTCCTGTCTGTCGGGGCCTAGGGGTGAGAGGGGCTCCCTGGGTCGGTCACCTTCTTATTTTAGAAAAATTTCAAAAGGACACAGAGTAGCTGGGTGTTGTGGTGCACGCCTATAATCCCAGCACTCGTGTGGCTGAAGCAGGAGGATCGCCTGAGTTTGAGGCCAGCCTGAACTGCATAGCAAGATCCTGTCTCTGGTAAACAGGCAAACAAAACTTACACAGACTACTGCAATGAGCCCTATGCATCGATTACCCAGCTTCAACAATCATCAACTCGGGGCCAGTCTGGTTTCATTCATAACCCTCCCAATTTCCCTCTCCCACTTAATTTCACCTGTCAGGATGTCGGGGTGTGTCTTTTAAGAGCTGAAGAGAATAAAAGCCAAATAAAATAAAAGCGAATGGAGGCCGTGGATTTAGCTCAGTAGTGTCTGCCTCACAAGTGGAAGGTCCTGAGTTTGATCCCCAATACCAAAAAAAAAGAAGCTAATAACTTTAACCTCATCACAAAGCACTCAGTTATTAACATGCTTACAAATTCCTTACTACAAACTTCCAGTGTTCAAATTCTTAATTTCTCATCAGTTTCCCAGGGAGTGTTTGTTTTTCTTGTGTGCATGTGTTTGGTTCTACTGGGGACTGAACACAGGGCCCCATGTCTGATAGGCAAATGCTCTGCCTCTGGGCTACATCTCCAGCTCTGGTTGGTTTGCTTGGTTGGTTTTTTGTTTTGTTTTGTCTTGTCTTTGGTACCAGGGATCAAACTCAGGACCTTACAATTGTGAGGAATGTGTGGTGCCACTGAGCTAAATCCCCAGCCCTACTTGATTATTTTGTTTGTTTGTTTTTTGGTAGCAGGGATCGAACTCTGGACCTTGCGCTTGCAAGGCAGGTGGCCAAACTACTGAGCTAAATCCCTGGCCCTTGGTTGGTTTTTCAGACCCAGCCTCACTGTAGGTCTAGGTTGGCTTTGAATTTGTTATGTAGCCCAAGTTGGCCTCAGACTCATGATCTTCTTGCCTCTCAAGGGCTGCACCACACTCAGCCGGTAATTGTAGGAGATGAAGTCTCACTATAGTGGCCTTGAATCCTGGGCTCAAGGAATCCTCCTGCCTCAGCCTCCTGAGTAGCTGGGAATACTGTATTAGCCTCAGTATTCAGCTAATTTCATTTTTTAAAAAACATCTATTGGGGCTGGGGATTTAGTTGCTTGCTTTGCAAGCACAACGTCTGGAGTTCGATCCCTGGTAACCCCCATCCAAAATGAATAAAATAAAAGTAAAAAACGAGTATTGGTTTGGTTTGAATAGACTTCAAGTAAGATGATCATATGACGATGGTGGTGGTGGTAATTGCAGTGCTGGGGATTCCAGATCTTTTAAATTTCTCATTCAGGGTCTGGCTAAGTTGCTCAGGCTGGGCTCGAATTTGTGATTCTCTTGCCTCAGCCTCCCTAAGTGCTGGGATCAGAGGCCTGTGCCACGATGTCTGGCTAAGATGGACGTATTATAGTGATGCAGCCCCACATCTCGGTCCCTCAAACATCCTTTTCTCTTCCCGCCTTCCTTCCCACTACCCCTTCCTTTCTCTGGCTCTCTACTTGTTGAGGCAGCCTCAACTGTCGTCCTGCAGCTTTCCACGGTCTGGATTTAGCTGACTGGGTGTCTCTGGTTTCTCCTGCCCCCTGAACTCTCTGCAAATGTACGCGGTGAGGTCCTGCCGATCACAGTCGGATCTGAAGCCCTGATCAGATTTGGATCTGGGTGTCTCAGGCAAGACCGCGCATGGCGGCTGTGTTCATCGTGGAGCACATCCTGTGCCATCGGCTTTTTTAGCTGTCGTGCTGCTGTTTTACAAGCTGGTGACATTCAAATTCAGTCACTTGGAACACTTCATGATTTGGCTACGGAGTGGCACAGTTCATAGAGAAAAGCCAGAGTGAAAGGCTCGATCCTTTTCCTGTATTTACCAGCTACAAAATACCGGTTGATTTCCCAGCATCCTCCAAACTGACCGACTGACCACCCCCCCCACACAGACACACTAGTAGGACAACTATGAATTTGTGGCTAGAACACATAGATCGCTTCAATCCATTGCCCATAGCTAGCATCGCCTGGGCTTCGCGAGGTCCCATCCTTAGCTCTCAGTTTGGTGTCCCCTCACCTTGGACAGTAGTGGAGCGAACTGGGGGTCAGGTCTCTGTCTCAGCCTTCTGGGTGCGGGCTGCCCCTCGTCTGGCCCGCGCCTGTGACCTTAGCCCTGCCCTCGCCCAGCTGGCTCTCTGTCCTCTCTTCTCTGTCGTCTGTATTCATCTCCCAGCTTTCTGCCCTTTCTCTGCCCATCCAGGAACTGTTTGATGAATGAATGCGTGAATGACTTCCCAGATCGATCTCATTCACCCTCTCTGTGAACCTGTCTCCCTAAGTCTCTTGACCTCTCAGGGCCATATATGCTTTATCTGGATCTAAAGCGAGGGGTTGGTTACCCGTCGTCGCCTGGGACAAAGGAAAACCTTTCTTGTCCTTGTCATCTTGATTCTCGCCTGTTTCCCAGACTCCACCCACATCTTTCTCCCAGATCCTCTTCGCTGCCCCCTGGCTCAACAACAAAGGGTGCGACTCGGTCAGTCCGCCGCGAGGGGGCGCGCTGGCTGGGGGCCAGCTCGGCCATGCGCATGCGCAATATTGAGGCGGAGCCGGCAACCGGGAAGGAACCCGGAAGCAGGCGCTGCAAACCCGGAGGACAGCGGAACAGCGTCCCGGACGCGAGCTGGGGGTTCGTGAGGCGGTGCACGCGGAAGAGCACCTGAGGCCTCAAGCCCGCGGTGTCCTCTTCCCTAGGGGAGGGGACCCGCAGGGAGGCAGGAATTGGACCTAATGAGCTCGGCCCCCTCCCCGCCCACCGTCCGCTGTGTCTCTCCTCCGACTTCCAAGGACATCGCCGTGTCCCCTCACCCCGCAGACATTTTGGGGCGCCAGCCTGAAGAGCTAAATCTACCCAGAATCTTCCTCCCCGTCTTATCAGCGGACTTCCGGCCTTCAGGGGGTTTCGTGAACCTGTGGCTCGGAGCCATCCAACCCGAGCTGGAGGACGCCGGAGATGCCTCCTGGCCTGACTTTGTAGCTTAGGGGAGAAGCAGAGCCCGGGAGGGGCGGTCCTAGGTGGCAGAGCCATTTCCACCGGGACCCTCCCTCCCCGCAGCGGGGGTAGAAGGGATCAAGGCCATAATGGAGACAAAAGTGCTTTGTAAACCGTAAAGCTCCGAAGAAAGGAAAGGGTCTTTTATTTATTTATAACCGACAATGGAAGGCAGGAGCTGCGGAGGACAGCCCACCGCAAGGCCTGACTGCTGGGAGAGGTCAGATTTAGAAGCCACCACTCAAGCGATAAAAGGATTCAGAACATGAAAAAGACATTTCTGACATCTTTCGTGGGTGATCATTTATATAGAAAATGCAAGAGATTCTACAGGCATATTATTAGTGATAAGAGCTCAACCAGGGAGCTGGACAAGGACCAACGTCCAGATAGAAATAAAGCACACAATTCCAGTGTTTCTATACCCTAACGACAATTTACTAAAAGAGATCTTTTTAAAAAAAAATAAATCATAAAGCAATAAATCAATAAAATTAAAATTGTACAAGAAATCCAGAAAATGAACCAAGTCATTTCAAAATTTGTATGAAGAAAAATATGATTATAGTCTATGAAAGGAGTAAGTCAGTAAGGAGAAGGGTTCGGTTGAGGGGTGAAAGGCCTCAGTGTCATTCTCAAAGACGACTCTGTCCACATTAAGCTGCCAGTTGGATGCGTGTTTGATAAATATCACGACAGGGTATTTCACAGAGCTTGGCAAACTGGCTCTAAAATTCATATGGAAGAGCGAAGGCCGGAGCAAGGTCTTGATGATTCTAACTGATACCAAGACTCTTTTGAAAGCGATATTAATTAAAACGATGCGGTGTTGGTGCCGGGCTAGACAAAGAGATCGATAGAATAGAGAAACAGTTCCAAGCATGTGTGGGAGTTTGATCTGTGGCGGTGGTGGCGTTGGGCATGGCCTCGGGAGGGAACAGACCATTCAGTAACGAGTGTCGAGGCATTTGGCTTTTCATATCAAGACTCTTCGTGTTTTCCATGAATATTAATCCCAAATGGATTAAAGATGTAAAAGTGAAAAAATTTTAAGAGAAAATGTAGGAGACCCGGGGTTGCAAAGCAGTTCTTACACAAGAGACCCAACTCAGCAAAACTGAGTGACCTTATTACATTACTTGCCAAAAAAACAAATCTCTCCCCTATGAAAACAACATTAGGAATAACTCTAAAAGACAAGTAACCTGGGTGGTGATGTTGATATCCATGAGACAGGTAAAAGGGTCGGTACCTCAATTCTATAAAACTCTTCTAGAAATCAGCAAGGAAAGGACAGGCCTTTTGAGAGTCATTCCGAATAATGGCAACTCCCCCTTCTTCCTCCATCCCAGGCCTCTGATCTAATTAATTCAAGGGCTTGAGCTTGCAGGGTAGGGTGGGGGGTTGTGTCTTCACCCCTTCAGTGAACTGTGATTGGCTAAATGTAGCAATCATTTTGTTCCCCTGGTCAATGATTGGTTCAGGTGTGGACATGTATTCGATTCTGGTCACCAAGACAGGAAAGTGAAATAGATTCTCTGAGGTGCAAGTGGGGAAGGCAGTTTCTTCTGCCTCTGACTGTGGTCGCCTGTACCTGTAGGTGGCAGTAATCTTGGGACCATGTGGGAGCCACTGTAAAGAGCAAGCCAACAGAATAAGGGTGGCAGTACCCTCATGAAAGGGACACGGAGAAGAAAGCAGGGTCAATCCGCTCCTTGATATCACAGTTGAGTCTGAATTGAGCAACTTGAGGATTCCCTCATATTTAAGGTACTCTGTTTGGCTTATACCACCTCTACAGTGGTGCCTCGGTTCACGAACTTAATTCTTTCCACGATTCTGGTCACACA